TTTGTCATTTGGCCTGGGCACAGGTACTTGCCCGTGCTAGCGGAAGTGAAACAGTGGTATTCGGTACTGTGGTACTTGGTCGTCTCCAGTCTGGAGAAGGAAACGAGAGTGTTATGGGTATGTTGATTAACACGCTACCTTTACGGCTAGATATTGATGATACTACAGTTGAAAATTCTGTACGAAACGCTCATTCGCGTTTGAGTGCTTTGCTATCTCACGAATATGCATCACTGGTATTGGCGCAACGCTGCAGTGGAGTGCCATCTTCATTACCTCTTTTCAATGCTTTGCTAAACTATCGTCATAAATCGCAGACCGAGCAAGCCATCGAACCACCCGCTGGAGTGAATATTCTCAGTAGTGAGGGGCGAACAAATTACCCAATAAACCTGGCAGTGGACGATGACGACAACACACTGAGTCTCACAGCTCATGTGGTATCGCCGCTGTCAGCAGCGAGGATTTGTGGTTATATGCAACAAGCTCTCGTATCACTTGTCGATGCATTAACACATACACCACAACAACATGTACGAACATTGTCGATCATTCCAGCGGAAGAACGAGAGATGCTATTGCAAAATTGGAATCGAACGACTGTCAATTATCCACCTGTTTGTTGTGTCCATCAATTATTTGAGGCACAGGTGGAGCGTAGTGGACAAGCTATAGCGGTGGAATTTGAAGGAGAAACGTTGAGTTATGCAGAACTCAATACACAAGCTAACCGATTGGCTCATCATTTGATCATGCGGGGAGTTAAGCCAGATGATCTCATCGCACTTTGTGTTAAACGCAGCACAAAAATGATTGTAGCTATATTAGGTATTTTGAAAGCCGGTGCCGCTTATGTACCACTTGACCTGATCTACTCCAGTCAGCGGTTACAAAACATTTTGGTGGATGCGGATCCATTGTATTTGTTGGCAGATGCCACTGGTCAAGAGGCACTTGGAGTTCATGATGTACCAGTGATTAATTTGGATCAGCCGTTATCAGACGATCTATCAACCCAAAATTCAGACCCGTGCAAATTGGGACTCAATCCAAAGCATTTGGCTTACGTGATATATACATCCGGTTCTACTGGAACACCGAAAGGTGTGATGGTTGAACATCAGTCCTTATTCAACTTGGCACATACACAAACTTCAATTTTCGGGATAACTCCCAAGAGTCGTATTTTGCAATTTGCATCCTGCTCTTTTGACGTTAGCATGGATGAAATCATGAGAGCACTAACAAATGGAGCATGTCTTTGCATACCTAACGAAGAAATACGTCACAATGACACTGCTTTGCTTGATTTTCTAAGCACAGGGAAAATTACGCATGCAACTTTACCGCCCGCTCTGTTTCGTAATTTTAAAACGTTGACCAATTTAAAGGGCATACAGACCTTGGAATTAGTAGGCGAAACGCCTTCGTTATCATTACTCCAAACTGCTGCTAATGTAACTAAGGTTTTCAATGGCTATGGTCCAACCGAAACAACCAACTGTGCGACCAACTGGATATGCCCCATAAATTTTGACAGTGCCTCTATACCCATTGGTCGTCCGATATCGAACGTACGAATATATCTGTTGGATTCACGTGGTGAACCGGTTCCATTGGGAGCCGAAGGAGAACTGTATATTGGCGGTGCTGGTGTGACCAGAGGATATCTAAAACGACCCGAACTTACTGCGGAACGCTTTTTGTGCGATCCATTCAGTGAAAATCCAACAGCACGCATGTATCGCACTGGTGATCTGGCACGCTATCTGCCTGATGGAAATCTGGTATATCTGGGACGCACTGATCAACAGGTTAAAATTCGTGGTTTCCGAATTGAGCCCGG